GCATGTGGTTTTTGTCATCTTTGTCAGGGAAAAGAATTTGGAGATATATATCATTATCTTTTTTAAATGCCGTTCTTTCTTTTATTTAAAGCCATATGATACTTTCTATTTTAAAAAAGTTGAAAACGTGTAAACACCTGAATGGCTTATTTTTACAATAAAACACGTGTACATGTACTTTCTTTTAAAAAGAAAGTCCTTTAGCTTATCAAAATCTTCAGAACTCGTACTCTAATTCACCGATAGCTTTCCGTATGCTGTGACCTTGAATACGACACCTTTCGTTAGAACTCGGCAGCCGCATAGCACAAGTGCGAGGGAAAACCACGATGAAAGAAAAATAAACCGAACGTGTGTAGATAGTGTTAAAATGATTCTGAGAGAAAAAAAAATACACCTAATCATTAACAATCGAATATGATATAGTGTAATTAACAAATGGAAACTTATGGACAATATAGAAAAAAAAGTAAACATAGCTCTACCGTCTCACTTATTTCCCACGTGCTCCATGATTCTGTCTTAATATAAAATGGCAACAAAACCCAAAAGTTTATAAGCAGCAAAAGTTTTCGATTAACAATCACTTAATGAAATATTTGTTTGTCGATTATATATATATTATGGGTTCATAATAAATGTAAAAAGAGCGGTGACCTATAATTATTTTTATTTTCGTCATTTGAACTCTGGTGAATAGTTGTCTCATTGGCGTTGGGAATCATACTACATCTCCTTTTTTTAGCTCACCTGGTCAAAAGGGCCAGGTGAGCTTTTCTCATCACTTGACGTCCATCGTCCGTCGTCCGTCATCCGTCGTCATCGTCGTCCGTTAACTTTTACAAAAATCTTCTCTGAAATTTCTGGACAAAATTTAACCAAACTTGGCCACAATTATCATTGGGGTATCTAGTTTAATCAAAGTACTGAAGAACTGAAGATCGGATGACCGCAAGTTCTGGTGGATGGTCACAAGCACTTGTCTCAGAAAAAAAATCACATCTCTATACCTGAAGGTTAGGTTAAGGTACATAGATTTTTTTTTTTCTGAGACAAGTTCGTGTGTGGATGATGAATAAATGACAGGGAATTCAACCTCACCGTAATAACTATTAAATTGTAGTTATATAATCATTTGTTATCAGTTTACTCTATATTATATTAATATTTGTAAAACAGTTATATATAATTTTCATCCATTTGTATATCATTCTATTCTACCATTCCAATGATAGTGCAGTGCAAGTGTATGGTGGACACTTCTGTAATAATTCGTTTTTCTAATAGATTGGATTTGAGTAGGCATTCATATTTTGTTGCAAAACGTTCTTGAGATATTCTTCCGCATGTGTTAACACAAATTTTTGGTATTCTTGATTTTTTATTGATATATATATTTCTCACGACAAAACATTTTCAAATCATTTATCTATGTTCTTAAAATTTCTTTCATGAATATTTATTGATGAAATTAATATATAACAATCGATAAGGAATGTTATTTTGCACTCTATAATATCCGCGTAATTATACGAAATGCGTTCGGGTATCAGCCAAAAACGCAAGTCACGTGGGTCTGTGGAAACGTAACACCAGAATGCCCTCACGGTCATCCGTTCAGAATGTTGAGCTCTACTAATTATCCATATATGTAAAAACTGCCAGACGACTTCTCATAGGAGTTATTGCCCTTAAATGACAAATTTTACCATTTTTTTCATTTTTGCCTATTATCTTGAAAACTATAATAGATAGAAAGAAACTTTGAATTGCACAAATTATCAGCAAGACAAGTTCTACAAATAAGTCTGCAATGGTCGAAATCGTCAGTCGACTCCTTATTAGAGTTATTGCCCTTTGATGACAATTTTAACAATTTTTTGCGTTTTTGCCTTATATCTTAAAAATTATAATCGATAGATAGAAACTTAAATGATTAAAAATGATCAGCAAGACAAGATATGCAATTAAGACGAATGGGGGAAATCGTCCGACGACTCCTTATTGGAATTATTGCCCTTTACTGACGATGTTTTGCTTTATATGATAAAAAATATAATAGATAAATAGACACTTTAAATAAAAAAAAACTTATCAGCAAGGCAAGGTCTACTAACAAGTCAAATTTTACTGATATAGTTAGTAGACTGTCACTCTTTATTGGAGTGATTGCCCTTAAATGATCATGAGGATTTTTTTTTTACATGTACATTTCACGGTACCCTCTTTTGTGTTTTGAGCAAAAACTAAAGAATATAGAGAGAAACTAAACAGACTAAATGATCAGCAATACAAGATCAACAAAACAGAGATTTTTGTCATGAATTATATTCTCGTCTACAATGTTGGAGAGTATCCTTTGTTGAATATGCACACAGACCAAGTTGAGCGACACAGGCTGTTTAGAGCCTCTGACTAGTTAATACAGAGGACTTAGTTAAGTATAAATGCATACATTGATTGAATAATTCCCATAGTGTTATAACTATACAGAACTCTTGTCGAATGACTTAAGACGAAAGACAATTCACTAATAAATGTACTAATATATGTATATCGATGTTGTGAAGTATAATTAAATGGCAATGGGTCTCCCGTTAATATACTGGACCTTGTACGTGTATATATTATTGAAAGAAAGATTGTGTACAATGATAACCTCATTTAGTGCTGATCAATAAAAGATGCTTGCTTTCCTTCCTGCTATCTTACAATATTACATCAAGGGTGATATCTCGTTTATATAATTCCTTTCGCCGGACGAGTGTTTTGTCATCAGGGAAGATATATCGTTTATATAATGCGTTTCGCCAGACGAGTGTTTCGTCATCAAGGAAGATATCTCGTTTATATAAATCCTTTCGACGGACGAGTGTTTCGTCATCAAGGAAGATATATCGTTTATATAATTCCTTTCGCCAGACGAGTGTTTCGTCATCACGGAAGATATCTCGTTTATATAATTCCTTTCGCCAGACGAGTGTTTCGTCATCAAGGAAGATATCTCGTTTATACAATTTCTTTCGCCAGACGAGTGTTTCGTCTTTACAAGACTCATCATTGGCGCTTTAATCAAACCGACTTTGAGGAAAAATTAATGACAAAACTTCTAAAACGTTGTTCCGAGTCTGGCTACAATAATGATATCGTACACAGTGAATCTATTCTTTCAAGTAAGAAGAACAATATATAATTTATATAAACGGTACTTTTTTATTGAATAAAAAACTGTATACTATTTGATATCTTACCACAAGTTTGATTTCTAACCAATATAAAATTGAATTCAGAATGGAAATATTTCGAAACAACATAAATAAACACCAACCATGAAAGCTGCTTTAACCACCGTTTATTTTCAAAATATATAATATTTGTTTATATCCAAATAAATACACCACATGTAAAAGGAAATATTGATTACCTATATATAGCTACTGCTAGCGTTGATTAAACACATTAAGTGGTATAAATTACCTAGAGTATGTACAAATATAATAACCAGTTATATATTGAATTAAAGGAATCGGTGTCGATGCACTTCCAGATATATATTACTGTTAATTTTATATACATATATTAATCAGATATACTGGGTGATGTAAACGTCATGAGAGTTGTATGTAAATAGTAATTATTATGCTCTGCCGTTTGACGTTTGTCTCTGAAGTTTAAAATGATCTTCAAAATGAAGAACAGCAATTAGGCCATGCGGACTTAGGCCATGCGGACTTGTTTTCTGTTGTTCATATTGTAAATTGTTTGATGTTGTTTCGTATGAACGTCTGTTACTCATTTATTGACAGAAACCCACGTCTCTCAAAAGATATTTGTGATATATAAAAGCGGACATTTGCTCTGAAACTTGTTATCATTCTAATTAATTCGTTTAAACGATAATAACAATTTTAGATTTTCATTCGCATACTCCTTTTTTGAAACCCTACGGCTTCCTCTATTCGTTAAATCTAGGTTAAGCTGCGATGCTGCTTAAACATTATCATACAACTGAAATTCCGTTCATGTTGTAAAATTTTACCACATGTTTCTAAATGAATCTATATTGTTTACCTCATTTAGCTCTTAAAAGATATAGTATGTTTAGCATTTTATAGACAAAACATTAGGTTCTTCGAATTAGTTATTGACTATTTTATCGGTATACCTTTTTTTAAAAGGTTTATGGACTGCAGTTCTCATAACGTAAGTATAAAATCCAATGTTGAATAGCAATAGCGTACAACTGCGCCTATAACTGAGAAACGAAACGAAAGGAAGCGGTATTTTAAATATTGTTATTGTTTTTGACTGGCATAAGTTTTAAAACTCATTAAAAAACACAAATTCAAAAATATAATTAAATAAGATGTTCTCTTATCAATTTATGCATACCATACATGTAACGAGTAATTACAAAAATATAATATTCATAAAAAGTTCAAATAAACCTTATTTTTTATAGTTGTATCAGACATATGCATTCTAAATTACATGAAATCTTATATATCGTGTTGTAAGTGGGTTTTTTTTTAATTGATGAAGATAAGTTAAAATTTTTAAATAATACATTTACTGACTTTTTTTTGACTCATTAGTATTGTACATAAAACTATCTTATAATTGGTGTGTTTAATATAAGTAGTATATTTAACCATGTCTATTAAATAACTAGAATGTCGCACGTAGCCTATAACATTATTATCATTAACAACACTAGAGATACAGTGGACTTATTTGAGAAGAAACATAGTTTGACAAGAGAACTTCTTATGTCACCATGATCTGACTACTGGAGAAGACTACAAATTGTTCTCATCAGCTGATGAGTTGATAGCTTTCTATTGGTAGATGAAACTAAAGTGATTAGGTTCTGTTACAAATATAATATCAAGCTAGTTAAGAAACCACTTGGGGTTGGTTAATTGTTTAATACGCCCTATAATGGCAATGCGTTTATCTTTCTCATTACTTCCTTTGCAAAGCGAATAAATAACGTACAGTTGCTTACAGATCACTTTCATTAATTTTAAGATTTGTAAAGCTTCGTTAAAACTCTTTTATCTTCTTAGTTTAAAAGAAAACCTAAATGTAAACTTTTGAATTATTATATATACGATCTATAACAGTATTAGATTCTTGGAAAGTATCCTGTTAATTAAATTTGTGCATATTTTTTTTTTCAAAGTGAAACAAACGTTGGAATAAAACACCTGTGAGAAATCCGGTGTGAAATCCACAACCCAATCCCGTAACGGACACCTGTATTGGATGATGTCATTAGCAACGAAGACCTACACACATCAGCGTTTACTTAACTAGCTTCACATCACTGATATAATAACCAGGGGAAATCCAGTTAAAGACAGAATACAAAAGAGATACGGGTAGCAATGCTTATCAACCTGGCAATTTTACACGTAGTGGCCTTAATTATTAAAGGTAAGTTATTTCATGCATTTTTAGGGTATTTATATTTAAATTATGTACAATAGAGTAACCATAAGAAAAACAAAGAGAAATAGAAATAATTTTATGTGGTTTTGCTACATTTTTTGGATTAAGAAAACAAAGTTTCAAAACTTTAATATTTGTATATTTTTACTCTGCCGAAAATCATTTTTTCTATTCGATTTCGGAACTTTTCACAGCTAAGAATTTGTAAAATCAAATGCTACAAAATAAAGTAGGATTGGGTTTTTATTGAATTTTAATGTGAAATAATAATTTCAAAATTTATGTACAAGGTAATCGTGTTATGGTATAAGACAGAACGAGAATACTCAAATTAATTTTAACCATATAAGGTGTTTAATTTTTGTTTAAAACACATACTTAAATTACCCATGGATACATTGAAAAGTTTATATGATGCAAAGGAATATAAAAGAACCGCAATAATTTTCAGGGCAGTAATCATTCTAAGAGATATTTTCCGTTATGAGTATTCAGTATTGCTTTACATCCGTTGGCAAATATTTTATGCATGTTCTGAACGTTACAATGTACAGAACAGGTTGCCGAACACGTGTACATGTTTGATTTCTTCAACAAGTAATCCGTTGTGAAGTCGTTTGCATTGCATCACACGCATTTAAGACTGAATAAATTGTATTAACAAATAAAACATATAAGAAGAAATCTTCTTGCCTGAGGAAACGGTTGATGACATTATGTTATTCAAGATGAACAGGATGAAGTCTGTAAATCATTGAAATGCTAAGTTATTTCTGAAATGAAATTACCGTTATTGACTAATGTATCACTCATTAATTCACATAATCATTTAATACTAGAAAAAGTGACAACTGTCTTTTGGTTAAAATTCGATAAGTGAAAGATTGACTAGATGTTACTTCACATGAATCTTTTCGCCACTATACAATTTTGAATATTTATTGAAAGTTGACTTGGAAACCATGGGAATAAAATTGAGGGTATCATCGACAATAATTATTATTCGTGTTTTGCAGAACTCAAAATTATTGAAACTTAAATTTTAAAAACTTCAAATAATTTATTGTATTAACATTTCATTAAAGAAGTTTTCCAATTGTGCTCTATGTAACATTTTCTTCGTCATTCATGAACTATTTGACACTGGTAGATAAGCACGCAACAATCAATGTAACGTACTATTTTGTAAGTTGTCTTACTTTTCTTGGATAAGTACTTCCATACCAATAAGATTTTTTAATCATCATATATTTTGTGCCAAAAATACAATATGTTTAGATCTCCAATGTTCATGCTGAAATATTAAAACAAATATATCACATTTCTTTTTGTATCAAGTTTAGATTAAACTCTCTCCATTAAATTCGTATGAAAAATTTAATTTCAGTTGTTTTCCAGCAGAAACAAAAAGGAATATCGGAAATCAGCTTTTCCTATTAGTTTTGATAAATTGACCTTTTCCTCCAAATAGTTTTACGGATTCATTTTTTCTTGTGTTTTTTCATTGGTATCAAAAATAATTAAAATTGAGATTTTGTGTGGAGGATGAACGTGTTTTTGATTATTTAGCATAACAATCAGTAGACTAGTTTGTCCTCAGTGAATGAGAATAAAGGTTGGAGAGAAAAGTCATATCCGGCATGACCTACTATATACAGTCTTCACGACTTAATATACAGTTTATACGACTTTCTATAAGTTCATACGACTAACTATACGGTCTTTACAACTTACTATAAGTTTTTACGACTGACTATACAGTTTATACGACTTACTTCACAGTGTATACGGCTTCAGCTTACGAATTACAAGTACAGAACATGCGTTTTGTAAAGACACCGAGTCTTGTTAACTGTTTCAAAATGTATGTCAACTTTTTGTATCATTAAAGAGAACCATGGGTTGAATTGTCGAGGTCCCATTTTCTCCACTTTTTCACCTGGTAACTAATATCCTTGTTATAAGATTTTTAAAACATAGACATTAGGTGAAACTCCATTTCTCATATTTATCTGATTTCGATATAAGACTTAAATGCAACAGAAATTATAAAACGCGTTAAAATAATGGTTGGTGTGGATGCAAACAATTGATGATTCAATCGAAAAATATTGTTCAAGCTTTACTGATATCTGCACTCGGGTCTTTTCATTTTATCCGTTCACCTGCTTCGTTTCTAAATGCCTTTTTGTTCTTATTCGAACTACATATGAAAACATATTGAACAGCATACACACATGATTATGTAATATTTCATGCGCGTGACGATATGTTTTCATGATGGGTGGATAAGGATTTTGGCATAGAAAATTCAGCATCTAGCTATGTTCCTATTTAATAAAAGGAAAAAAGAGAATCATGAACTGTGACGCTATATTTTTAGTATTTACAGTCTTATCATGTCAAATGTAGGAACTGCGTAAATGCAGAATGCATCCGAAACATGAATAATTATGAATTATTCATCGGTTATCTATAGTTCGATTAAGAAATTCCGGTTTTTTTTCGCAATCACAGAGGCAAACATTTCTGACGGTATGTTTCTATGACCGATGCTTCTTTATACATTCACGGCAGTTCCGATTTCTACAGCAGCATAGACGCATTTGGAGCTAAATGGCTTATGTCAGCAATATTTGAATTTTACGTTATTGGGAATATGAAACCAATAAAAGACCCAAACAAAAGAGATCGAAGATCGAGCCAAACACGTATAGTGTTGTTTTATTTGCAAGATCATTGTTCGCTTTTGTCACAGAAAATGTCTATACAATGTTCTTTGACATTAAGAAAGTACTAAGTTTTGGTGATATCCTTAAACTTTTGTGGCCCAGATCAAGTTTGTTAATGGTTATAAAAAATATCAATGTTTTCCACCAGTTGTGCATTCGACAAAGATCCTCGAAAATCGAACTATTTGAGTCTTAAAACTAAAACACAACTTTATATTTGTATTGATTTCCAATAAAGTTATACAGGTGCTAAATTTCATGCATACAAAATGTGTTTCTCTAATTACACCAGACAAGCCCGATTATGCTTGTTGATCTCTGGAAACTTTTTTTTCTATTAATAGGGTCCTGTCTCATTGACGTATACCCTACATATCATTTTAATCATTCTGATGTCTAAAGATAAGAATTCATAATCCCATAGTGAACATAAAAACTAAGCAGAAAAATTGTCCAAGTTCAACTACACGATTTAGACGATATTTAGTTTACAAAAATAGCAGTCTATGATAATTACTACGTTTTCGTGTACTCAGATATAAAAGTCAACATAAGTGATGACAATAAAACAAAGTACCAGATAGATTAAGAAATGTAAATACTTGTGTCTCTCCTTCCTTGGTTTATTTCTATTTTATGTCTTTCATATTGTCTTAGATCGAAAATGATTGTAAAATGTACATGCATATCTTTTATTTGATATTTTGTGGGTTGTTTTCCCTGATAAAGTCACATTTAAGCTTACTCAATTTACAGGCCATATTATTAGTGTAAATAAACTGTAGAATGAATTTAAGAAATTTTGAAGGAACCATGATTTAAATACAGTATTTATATTTAGAATAATATCATCGTTTATCCTTTTTCTAACTTCTTTTACACTTTATCAAACTGAGACTTGGTGATCATGATAAGACTTTGTTGTATGAATGGAATTTATTTGAAATTTTTTGGCTTTTATAAAATAAGAACAGGTTGTCACTGGTTTTTTAAGGGAACTGTATTCATGATTATATCTCATCAGTGAGGTAGTTGCCGACTTAACAGAGGTAGAGCCAATTTTTCTCTGAATTCATTTCATTCGCATAGTCAAAAATCGAAAGAAATATTAACCAGTTTGAATAATCCATATTAAAAATTTATTACAATTTTACATTTTTCCATCAAGTTCAAAAGACGCTTTATATCGTTGTTGAAGGCATTATAAATTGTTGTTGAAGGCATTATAAACTGTTGTTGAAGACATTATAAACTGTTGTTGAAGGCATTATAAATTGTTGTTGAAGGCATTATAAATTGTTGTTGAAGGCATTATAACTTGTTGTTGAAGGCATTATAAACTGTTGTTGAAGACATTAAAAATTGTTGTTGAAGGCATTATAAACTGTTGTTGAAGACATTATAAACTGTTGTTGAAGGCATTATAAATTGTTGTTGAAGGCATTATAAATTGTTGTTGAAGGCATTATAAACTGTTGTTGAAGGCATTATAAACTGTTGTTGAAGGCATTATAAATTGTTGTTGAAGGCATTATAAATTGTTGTTGAAGGCATTATAACTTGTTGTTGAAGGCATTATAAACTGTTGTTGAAGGCATTATAAATTGTTGTTGAAGGCATTATAAAATGTTGTTGAAGACAATATAAACTGTTGTTGAAGACATAATAAACTGTTGTTGAAGGCATTATAAATTGTTGTTGAAGGCATTATAAATTGTTGTTGAACACAATGTTGATGCGAAGTCTCAATGTTTTAGAAAATTGCGTGTTGAAGGGCATCCTCTACCAACATGAATTAAATTTTAACTGAAAGACAATACGTGGATTTACTACAAGCAGACATTTTTTGTTTTGGTTAAAAATATCTTTCTTGTTCATACGAAAAAAATGTTGAACCTTAATGTTTTCTTTTCCTTACATGTTTCATCCTTTAAAAGACCGTTTTGTTTCTACCTTTGCATTTTAAGTTCGTTTTGAAAGCTTTAATTTGTTGACCTTAGGTTTTGTGGTCATATATCTGCATTTTTATGTTAGTTTTGTGTCCTAAAATTTATTGGCCTGACGTTTGGTGGTCTTATAATGTGTTTAATTTGTGCTGATTAACGTTTTTATTGCTTTTAAATGTTTACAGAGTCTCGAATTTGACTCAGTTAGTACTATTGGACGATACTCCAGAATCGATTGTCATGTGAGTTAGTGCTAATGAACGATACTCCAGAATCGATTGTCATGTGCAAAGAAATTGGTCTTATA